TAAGCATGCCCTGCTGCGAGTCTCTCTTTATATGCCATTGGGTCACTGAAAGTTCCTTACATTCTTGTGCGGCTGAAATTAGGTAGTTGTGTGGTCTGGTATCAGGCATTTAGCACAGAAGATTGTTTACAGATTCAAGTATCTGTCCACTCCCCCAGTTATTTCAATCATAAAATGTCCTTTCAAATTATTTCACACTAGCGAATCCAGAATCTTTGGTATCAGAAAACTCATTTATAAATATTGCTATAACATATTTAAACACAGTGTGTAAGTCAATACTACAGTATGTTTTGTGGTTTCCCTTGAATAACGTTCCAGTGCGTGGTTTTCTCCTTTATTTCATTAATATATCAAAAATTATATCAGTACTTTGAATATTATAAGATTAAAGTCAATGCACTTTGTGAAAAGGAGTATTGAAGACTATTACCTTCACACTTCACATTCACAACTAATGCAGCGTATTATGAGTCATGGGTCGTTTTTTGCAGTGCATATAATGTCGATAGTTCAACATGAATAGGCCTATGTCGTATATAAAACACCTCTAAAACAGTAGGATAATGTCACCTTTTAAAAATAGCAGACTGTATGAGTAGATCTTTAAGACATAAAATAAAATAATAATTAATAGAACTGTACTGATAAAAAAGTATGACAAAGTTGGGAACCTCAACAGTAAATTTTCAATATGCATCCGTGCGTCATTCGGAAACGGGATCTGTTATTCTTTCTTTCTTAAACCAGATGGAAGCTGGCTTTCAGTCTATTTATCCTTTCTGGACAGCGCATGCTTAGTTTGTGATTCTATTTCGACACTAAATGCGTCGTTTGTTCAAGGTAATGGCGTCTGCCATGGGATCATAGAATAACACACGCTTTATTTTTGCCCTTTGCAAATGGGTTTTCTTTCTGGTCAGCAAACCCTGTGATCAGAATGTCGCGTGTTTGGTGCTGGAGACAATGCGCCTTCAATTCCTCAATACATCTAGAAACTGGCAGCCTCCCTAGACTCGCCTCCAGGCGGAGCTGCTGTACAATGGCCTGCTGCTGCTCCAGCTTTTCTTGCGAGCGCGACATCTGGTAGTGGGGATCCTGGAGACATACAAGGGATAAATCAAACGATGGCGGTTATATAAAATTCATAAGCACAATGTGTTTTCTTTGTAGGGATTTCTGGAAGGTTCTATTTTCATACATAATGAAAGAAATTGTTCCGTTTTGGCGCACTGGCAGTATCAGGTAACTGAGCAGAACCGCTGAATATTCAATTCAAGATACATAACATAAAACGTGATTTCCATAGGCCTTTCAGATTATATTTATAATCTGCTGTATGTCTGTAAAGACAAAGGATTTAACACATTGGGCTTAGAAAACCAGAACATTTCAGCGACGAAATCAATAGTAGACTCTGTAGCGGGACATAAACATGGCTCATGACGATAATTTCTATAATCAATTCATAAACTGCGCTTTGGCAGATCAGACAGTGTATGAAAGCGTCTGTTCATTAAAAAGGTCTACACTGATTTATAGTCATATAAAGACATCCAAGTTACATGAATAGTCACACTATTTCAGATATGATCATTACTGTTAGCGCACCTGGGATATTAATAGGGAATGGACCTTAACTTTTCGCAACCCCTCCCCAAATGACGTTTTTTCTACCTCCCTCTCCGAATGAATTTTTTTTTGCTCGATATTGCTGCATATTACATTAAATAAAGGCCTCAGAACATTTTTACTGGTACGGAGAGATATGTTTTTGAAAGAGGTATGGGGGGTGGGGGTGGAGTTGGGTTTGTGGTGTAGTACAGGGGGTTTCTGGACCCTTCAACCCCCCCTCCCGTTTCGACCAGCATCACTACATTTAAATCATGTCCCAATTTTTGTTATGTAGACAATCATCTTACAGAAGGCTCCACTTCATCCTTCCCTGGAAGAAGCCCGTGTCACGGAGGGGTTGGGGGTTGGGTGCAGGGGTGGATCCAGGATTATTTGAGGGGGGGTCCACTTTTTTCTTAAGAAAACCGGGCCTCGGATGCAATGGCGACCCTTGCCCCCCTTGGTGTGTGGTTCGGTGTTTTGGAGGGCAAACTTGGCCATTTGGTGCAGTTTAGAACTATGATTCAGCTCTTCAAAATTCTAATATCAAGAGGGGAATACTGGTGTGATTTTTTTCCGGACACCGAATGGGGGGGGGGGGGGGTCAGGTCCCCCCTGACAGCCCCTAAAATCCGGTCCTGGGGTGGGGGAGGGGAGCACTCACCGCTGCCAAGTGTTGCCCTCGTCGGCTCATAACCCCAGTCTATCTTCTATCCCTTGTGCACGCCTTGGCCTCCTGTTTCCCTAAACTAATTGATGCTTGTCTGAAATGATATAATGGAATGAAAATAAATGGGGTACATTTAAAGCACTTGTTTGCACGGAATACATGATGTTTTAACGTTAAGTGATATATCACTGACACAACTTATAGTGCATTCAGTTTAAGTTGTTACTGCTCTCTCTCTCTCTCACACACACACACACACACGCTCTCTCTCTCTCTCTCTCTCTCTCTCTCACACACACACACATACGCTCTCTCTCTCTCTCTCACACACACACATACACGCTCTCTCTCTCTCTCTCTCTCTCTCTCTCTCTCTCTCTCTCTCTCTCTCTCTCTCTCTCTCTCTCTCTCTCTCTCTCTCTCTCTATATATATATATATATATATATATATGAGGAATATGTTGCCCTTATTCTAGTTTCACCTAAGACCACGCAAATTTGGGCTCCAGCTTGGCCATGGGTTATACAAGTGGGTCCTCACCCACATCGGGAACCAAACTGATTCCATGATCAAATAAACTTGGACATAGCTGAGAGAATGCTGGCAATAGTGTTCATTCACTTATCTTTCAGACCAACTTTTTATCTATTAAAAAAAAGCAGATTTTGACTGAGATCAACGATCTGTTTCCTTTAGATGCATATATCACATACATCTTCAACGTAAGTACGGACTAACCTTGACGGGGAGTTGACATATTTTAAGTCAACAGAACACCAATCTTAAGAACAGAGTAAGGCTAATAGAAATGTGATGGCGCCAGTTATTAATTATAGAAATGGTTGCACTTTGTGAGTGGCAATTAAGTAAATTGTGAATTTAGATAGGATCTCAAGCACCTCATCTACAGGCTTTAACCGGGAGGTAGAATACTTGCATGTGCGATGTTGACATTCTCGTTAATACGTCAATATATTGTTTATATTCACCGACGTATAACAGAAGTCGAGATAAATAGGTTTACCCTGGATTTCACAGCGGTAGTTTAAATTGCAACATAGTCTAGCTTGGCAATGAACATTAGAGGTAGCTTATTTGATTTGAAGAAGGAAAACATATATGCGTTTCTCTTCAACTTATGTGCTTTTCGTAATTGACAATACCACTTAGCATTCAGGTAAAAAAACTTGTTCACGAAAAGCGAAACGTCATCAGACCTAGGCATTTTATCTTTCTCTGCGTGCACCAACATACGGTTTAAAAAGGCGACATGCCATGAACATATGACTTTGTATACCACAGCATTCAATTTTACCATTTCTGTCAATGAACACTAATCTGCAGCTTAATAGACATGGGATATTTTTTGTCATTTACTGTACCTTCGTTAAATTAAACCACAAAATCCATTATGGACGTGTGGCTTCCGCATCATAAATGTGGCCAGTTCATTAAGTTGACGAAAAGAACATCACGTCTGCCTTATTCTCCAACTACATAGGAGCTTAATTGACATGGCTGATGCTATAGCCTCGATCTATCAAACAAGAGTTAGGTTTTTAACAACGCTTGGAATAATGCTTTCTTCTGTTAATATCCATTATCGAATGATATTTTTGTTTTACGTTATCTGGTGTTTAAAAATAAAAGCGTAAAATCAAAGGATATATAAAGGTAGAAAGGTTTGTGCTAAGAGATTTAATGGTATCGAATACGCTGCTAAACCAAATGCTTTCGCTTTCGTTTTGGTAGTCATTATATACGTTAATAACCATCCCCACGCAGTGTGTGCCACACGCAAAGTGACATTTTGGATATTGACAACTTAAGTATGGATGATGATATTATCAGCTATGTACACAAAAGTACAGAGATGTAGTCTCATGAATATATATGAATAAGGTTCTGGAACTTATTCAACGGCTTACCGACTAGATGAAGGAATACTTTCACTCATTTGGAAGATATTGCCTGTTTCATATGCGTCACCTTAACCCCAAACGGTGATATCCCATGTAAAATAGGTAATACAGCACGTAACTAAACCACATGCCTGATTGTTGAGAGTTCGCATGTGAAAAAAATCTGTTGGTATTTGCCATGGTCACTTACGTTAAACTAGCCCAGATTTATCTAAATGCAATGAATGGTGCAAGCACTCTTCGTTTCACGGATCTTCGGTTTCTTTACACCGTGTTATTGTAGTATAGCATTAGCCAAAACCAATATTTTGATATCTCAAGAGTCTTAATGTATCATTTCTAACGACCACACAGTTTACATTCAACAGAGATGATCAAAAAGACTGGGGGCCACATTCATATTACCCCTAACAAGGGTCACATACATGTTCACTTTTATTTCTGGCAAAAAGGCATTTTACTTTTTTTCGCAAGAAAAAATAGGAAAGAAACATGGGCTTTTCAAACCATGCCCGCCGTGCACGTCAGCACCGCACACATCATTGTCTCTGTACAAGAGACACTGATGTGTTACTTCTAAAGCCAAATACTTCTAAAGCCACGTACTTCTAAAGCCACACTGTGAAACACAAATCCCTGACAGTCATACGACGCCTGCAGGTAGCACATATGGGGTGTCGTTACATTAAAGGTTCGTCACTCCAAAATGCCACAATTATAAAGGTCCCTTTCTCCGAAAAACCACAATTAAAAATAACTGTTCGTACAATTGCCGTTACCTCGAAACTCCGAAAAGGGAATGGAAGTGAGCAAGACCTGTTATTGTATGAGACCAATACTTCTAATGGCCACCGGGGGTATGTTTACGGTATTTTGTAGTACCAGATCATCGTAAAGTTTGTATGGATACTTGGGGAAAACAGCTGAGTAACGGATCAAACGAATAACGCACGACTCTTCAGAACACTGCAGAAAAAGTTAAGAACTCTTTCAGATACCTTGGCGTTTCAGACTTTTGGACCGGAGTAACGAACATTGAGATTGGCAATTCTAACTAATCTCAGAGAAACGAATCATCGGGGAAAAAGGCCCCAGCGTTTCGACATACTTCCAGGCTTATTGCATTCAAAAGCCAACGAGATTGATTTCAAAGGGAACAATCCTTTTTCAAATGCATATCATTTCTGGCGACATGCAAAGCAATCTGAGGCGATTTTTTTGTTATCACGCCTTTTCAGCCTCAAAGCACTAAATCCGTAAGGAGTTTCAGATGCAAAGAACATGGAACAAAAACCTTTTCAACCTTCGCAAAATGCCTTGGGTACAGTTGCCCCTATCAATTATGTTCAAAGGCTCAGAAACCGGGTATCATTTTGATACGTCAATCGGGATTGATAAGCTAATTAAAAGTGAGAGGAGAATCCCTGGAGGCTGTGCATGTTTTTTCCCATTCTTTTTTACTTCCCGTTATACAGTTTCCAGGTTAGTAACCACAACGATATATATCATAATATGTATATTTTGGGCTGGTTTGTTTGTTACGCTATGTAAATGTGTTTTGAACCCGTTTGGTTTCAAAAATGAGATGGACATGAAACACTGAACCTTGGTGTCCAGTTGTGTAAAAGGGAATATTGTCTACTTTACAATTTCATGCTTGACCATCAGTTTTTTTGTTTTTGTTTTTGTTTTTTTTTTTTTTGGAAGATACAGGGGTATCTAGGAAAACAAGGTTGCCTTCAACTGGAACGGAACTCAGTGTAAAAATACCCCTTTATTGCCTTGAACATGTATCAATAAAATATTGCGACCAACGGCTCATCTCGAAATGATCATATAATTAGATAATAAGCTCACCTGTCATTCTAGAGAGGATGGTTGGGTATATTTATTTTAACGTTCCGATAAATTGGAACTTGGCACATAATATGGGGAGTAAAGGCCAATTTTACCCATCAAATCTGGGATCAAATATCTGGGCATGTGAAATGAAAAAAAAAGGGTTAGAGCTTGGGTTCCATTTAATTTCTACGTGTTATTATCGTAAGTGGTGCACTTAACACAATTAGCCTTATCAAACGGAAATGGCGGTCTTCTCATGTTTTCTTTGAGTAAGGGTATTAAGGCTCAGCATCCATATGCTGTATTAATTGACACACCATAAAAAACATTACATTTTTGGTAGAAAAAAAATAGACATAGCATTTGAAAAACAGTTATTGACAAAATATTGTGGTCTTCTATAGCTGCCTATGTTTTTGTCTGTTCAGCCATGTAAATATACAATTTGGCAGCATTTTAAAACCGAAATTACTCTTTCTAAGTCAAAATCCTATTTTATGGCCATATTTTGCACATCCATAGATCGAATCTCCAGACAAAATAACAAAATTTGAAACAAAAAGGGGAAAAAACCTTGGTGGTATAATCTGAGGAATAAAAATCTACAAATTGCCATCTGCTGAAATAAAACGTCTGGTTCTGTCATAAATGCACTCCTGGAGGATTACCTTGCATATCATATGGCTAATTTGGCTTTGCAATAGCAAAATTTACAATACAAATTATTACACAACATCAGCTAAGAAGTAGGCAATGTCGCCCATAAAAATAATGCTTCCTCTTCGCTATCGCTATCACCGACCGATTTTTGTCAATATACCAATATCTAGATGAAAAACTGGACAAAAAAGTACCGAACAAAACACATTTCAGAAATACTTTAATGGGATGAGGAGTTGAAAAAAAATGTATTCTATAATTTATGCTTATAGGACCAGCAAAGGAGTCACATTTTTTATAATTTAACCTTATAGGACCAGCAATCATCAGGTTTCATCAAAACACCGAACCATTAAACTGCCATTATAACGTCAAGTGTCGAAACAGAGAAGACACTAACGATGACAAGACGATCGTTAATGGCACCATGGAACCCATGGAACCCTGGGAATCATCCCACGTTTCCCCAGAGCAAGACAATTTAACGGTATTTCGCAGACATCAAGATGACACTAAAGACTTCTAGATAGAGCATATCTTAAAGAAACGGCGCTTAAGTACACCCCCGAGGACGCGATGATGTTAAGTCAATAGGCGGTTAAGTATCTAGACAAGGCTGGCGTGACCACAGTCCGAGACGCCGGG